GCTTGCCTTGCATGCATGAGGCCCTGGGTTCGATTCCTCAGCACCACATAAGCAAAAAGAAAAAAGCCGGAAGTGGCTCTGTGGCTCAAGTGGTAGAGAGCTAGCCTTGAGCTGAAGAGCTGAGGGACAGCGCCCAGGCCCAGAGTTCAGGCCCCACGAATGGACCCAAAAAAAAAACAAGTCATGCTGTAGTGTATATCATGTTATAATATTTTCCCAGTCAGTATTAAGAGATGGTTAGTTTGTTCATTTGGTTAAGGTGGTACTTGGTACCATAAAGATTTGTTTTTCCTATTGTAACTATTGTGTAATTTGTGAGGTCATAATCTGTACTTACTTTTATTTTCACATCCTATCCTCTATATTGAGTATTGGATACAGAATAAGATTTAATAAAGACTAGCTGTTGTTATTGTTTATGTCCCATTTTCCAACCAGAAGTTTGTATAATTTCTAGTTTATTCTATATATACTTTAATGGTACATATTTCATACTATGTTGTCACGATGAAGTCATTTTATGACTTTTCTACTAGATTTTGGGGTACTTAGTGCAGATATTGCATGTTCGATCTCTCAAAACAACTAATTCTTTGCATGTATAGGTACTCTGTAATATTTTTTATAGGAGGAGAAAAATTGAGAAATACTCCCAAATCCTTTTCTATTTAAATATTCTTGATTCTTAATATTTCTGGTTAAATTAAACAGAATTAATTAACTTAACCAATTTAATTTTTTTAGGTAAATGAGAAATCAGGACAGATTATACAATATGATAAATTTTATATACATGAAGTACAAGAACTGATAGACATAAGGAATGATTACATCAACTGGGTCCAACAGCAGGCTTATGGAATGGTATGTTTCCTGTATATTTTGTGATTTAATTCTTGTGTCATTTGTTCTAATATAAAAGAAACAGGGGTTTTTTTTGCAATACTGGAGTTTATTTCATACCTTTTATTCAGTATTTTCTTTAGAATATGTAGCGTAAATATTTTTGTTTAACAGCAAGTATTCTATTCTTCTGCAAAAGCCAAACCAAAGAGACAAAATACACTTTTTTCTTTGTTATATATGTTTAATGTATTTCAGATTGCCTATATGAGTGTGCATGTGTATGTACATATAAATATGTATTTTCACATGTACATAGTTTTTTTTGCATGTGGACAAGTTTCTGATAACTAGATTCTCAATAATTAAATGTCGAAATAGATAAGCAGCTAGATACAAAATACTCTTAATTGCTATCTATTTTTGTGTTCAGGAGGCCAATTTTTCTATCCCTAAAGTAGGTAAATTAATTTATATCTGGTGATTATAGAAGCATGGGTAAATTATTACTTGCATGTTACCAGTTAGAAGCTCTTGTGGATAGGCATAGTTTACTCACCAACATCTCTGACAGTGTCTGGGCTAAGTCTAGTAGTAACTAAAACCATAGTGGGGTTTTTTTGTTTGTTAACAGTGGGGTTAGTATGTGATTTTTGGTGTGTTTTTTCCTCCAGGAATCAAGTCACTCCTAAAACTTCCTTCTCTCAGTACTTGCAGAGACTCAGTGATTTTTTTTTTTTCTGTAGAATCACTGGAAGGCTCAATCTCAAGTGACTTAAAGGCTGAATCAGTTTCATTGTCTTTGTACATACAGATATATTTATTTGCTTATTCAACAGGTACTTAGTAAAGCCTAGTATTGTGGCTCATATGTGTAGTTCTAATACTCAGAGAGACTGAGGCAGTAGGACCATGAGTTTGAGGCCAACATGGGCTATAATACAAGACTGTGCTTCAGAACTGTGTGTGTGTATGTGTCTGTCTGTCTGTGTCTGTTTATACATAAATATAAATGTAGTAAATATTATACAAACACTTATTTGGAACTTGTTGCATAAATACTATTCCAGGTATTGGGTCTACATCCTCATTCTTCATGTATAAATGTAGTGGCACAATTGTCATTAAAATGCCAGCTATATATGTTCTGTGTAGAAAATTTAAATCAAGGAATGTTTTTAGCTCAGTTAATTAGAAATACTGGACTTACTGGGCGCTGGTGGCTCATGCCTGTAATCCTAGCTGCTCAGGAGGCTGAGATCTGAGGATCGAGGTTCAAAGACAGGCAGGAAAGGCTGTAAGACTCTTATCTCCAATAAACCACTAGAAATCTGGAAGTGGCATTGTGGCTCAAGCAGTAGAGCACTCACCTTGAGCTGAAGAGCGCAGGGACAGCGCCAAAACCCAGAGTTCAAGCCCCACAACCGACCCTGCCCCCCCCCCAAAAAAAACACCAATAGCAACAACAACAACAAAAGACCATGTTGGGCACTGGTGGCTCATACCTGAAATCCTAGCTGAGGAGGCTGAGATCTGAGGATTGCAGTTCAGGTAAGAAAGTCTGTGAGACTCTTATCTCAATCAGCCACCAAAAAAACAGAAGTGGCCCTATAGCTCAAAGTGGTAGAATGCTAGCCTTGTGCCAGAAGAGCTCAGGGATGGCATCCAGGCCCTGAGTTCAAGCCCCATAACCAAACAAAAACGAAAAAACACCTGAATGGGTGCAAAACTTGTAAAGTCTTGGTAAACTGGGTGAAGTCTTGGTAAATGGTAATTATTACTGACAGTCTTAGCACAGAAAATGTTTTACAATAGGCAGCCTTTTTCAGATGCTTGGTAACTCTTGCTGCTTTTCTCTGTCTGGACTATAATAAAAACATCTCCTTTTTGTATGAGATGTAATACTTGTCTGACTTATACTCTTTGAATAAATTCAGTATGAAGTCATACACAATCATAGGGTTCCTGTTGAGGTGCTAGTTTGGTTTTAATGAGGCCTTGGAGTTTAATGCTAATGCAGGGATTATAAATGGATTATTCTAGTTTTAGAGGTTTTGAAAAAATTATCTTTAGAAGGGATGACATTGTCTAAAAAGAAATTTACTCATCTGACTTACCTAACTGTAACCCCTCTCCGCATCATCTTTATAATAGTAAAGATACAATTGTTAAAAATTAGTACAAAATTGTTACTAAAAAATTAGTACAAAAGGGTTTTAAATCAATATGTCAGTATATTAGTACAATGCTTTTTGATCAATGTCACCCTTCCATCATTCTCCACCATCTGTCCCAAGCCCATCCATTCTCTCAAATTAGCTTGTGCCATTTTCACACATGTACATGGAATATTATGAGTGTATTCTAATAGTGTAACTCCATTAAACAGACTTATAGATTAATAAAATGAATACCAAAAAGCAGAAAACATGTTGGTCTCAAGAGTAGGGGGTACAGATGAATGGAGAGAGGATGTTGGCCTAATACAGACAATTTTGTTATCTCTGATATGAGTACACTTAATTTAAGCCAGTTGCTGGTGGATCATACCTGTAATCCTAGCTACTTCAAATCCAGCTCTTAGCACTATTAAATTACCACAAAAGCTGAAGTGGAGCTATGGCTCAAGTAGCAGAGTGCTAGGCTTGAGTGAAAGCAGCACAGGGCCAGTGCCCAGGCCCTGAGTTCAAGCCCTGGCACTGGCAATAAATAAATAAATGCAAATAAAAAATCACTAAATTTAAAATTCTCCCAGATTAATTATAAATCCATAGACATATATACCCTAGGACTCTATAACCTAGTTTAAAAAACATTGTATCAGGGGGCTGGGAAGGTGGCTCAGTGGTAGAGCGCTTGCCTTGCATACCTGAGGCCCTGGGTTCAATTCCTCAGCACCACATAAGCAAAAAGAAAAAAAAGCCAGAAGTGGTGCTGGGCTCAAGTGGTAGAGCGCTAGCCTTGAGCTGAAGAGCTGAGGGACAGTGCCCAGGCCCAGAGTTCAAGCCCCATGACTGGACCCCCAAAAAAAAAAAAACATTGTATCATCATGAAGTATACCAGTTGTCCTTTTACCTAGAGTTTTTTTCCATACGTGCTGAAGCAAGAAACTGAGTTCAAGGTCAGCCTGGGCTATGTAGTAAATCCCTGTCTCAAAAAATAACAAAACAAAGAGTTATAAACCAGGTCACACACCAGTTACTTATATGTAATTGTAGCTATTCAAGAGGTTGAGATCTGAAGATCTTGCTTTAAACCCAGTCTGGGCAGACAAATTCATAAGACTCACCAGCAAAATGTTAGGCTGAATATGTGGCCCAAGTGGGCCAACCAAAAGCAAAGCTAGTGGCCTTGAGTTTAAGTCCAGTCCCACCACCAAAAAAATTTTTTTTCTATGTAACTATTTTACTATGTGTATCTTACATCATGTTTGTGTGTCTTAAAATGTGTCTTGATAGCTGGGCACCAGTGGCTCATGCCTATAAACCTAGCTACTCAGGAGGCTGAGCTCTGAGGATCACGGTTCAAAGCCAGCCTGGGCCGGAAAGTTCGTGAGACTCTTATCTCCAATAAACCACTCAGAAAAATGGAGGTGGTGCTGTGGCTCAAGTGGTAGAGTGCTAGCCTTGAGCTGAAGAGCTGAGGGACAGGGCCCAGGCTCAGAGTTTAGGCCCCACGACCCTGCCCCCCCCAAAAAAAAAAAGTGAAATGTATTGTTAATTTGCTGGGCACTGTTGACTCATGCCTGTAATCCATACTGTTCAGGAGACTGAGATATGAGGATCATGGTTCAAAGCCAAGCCCGGGCAGGAAGTCTGTGAGTTTTTTTTAGTGGGGGGGTCTTGGGCCTGGGCACTGTCCCTCAGCTCTTCAGCTCAAGAGTAGCGCTCTACCACTTGAGCCACAGCGCCACTTCTGGCTTTTTTTTTTCTTTTTGCTTATGTGGTGCTGAGGAATTGAACCCAGGGCCTCATGCATTGCAAGGCAAGCGCTCTACCACTGAGCCATCTTCCCAGCCCCAGTCTGTGAGATTTTTATCCCCGATTAACTAACAAAAAGCCGGAAGTGTTGTGGCTCAAGAGTGCTAACCTTGAGCAAAAATCTTTAGGGAGTGTTCAGGCTCTGAGTTCAAGCCTCAAGACATAGTCTTCTCCCATCCCCCCAAAAAAGTATTATTCATTTTTTTTGTATTTAAAAAAAAAACTTCTTGCTAATCTCTGAAAAAAAATTACTTTGTTCTTTGACATCTGTTGAAAGAGAGGATTTTCCATTACCTTTCTTTACCAGTCAGGAAATTTATGAATCTGCCAAGTATGTGCTTCTGTGATCATTAAGCCTAAATAATTCTGTGAATTTCTGGCTTTATATACACAGATTGAACATCCCAAATGTTGCAGAAGCAACATGTACAAATTCCAAACTAAAAAAAACAAACCTGTAAAATCTGATTTGATTCCAGGCTTTCATAGAAGGATACTGGCCTCCTTTTGTTCTGCTGAGATGCCTAGCTTTTTATCTTACCACCTTCCCTTCTCCTGTCCTTTTTCCTCTTTCCAGTTATAAATTTTTGTGAAGTTATTGCTTGATTCTATGATTATATAATCCTGCTTTTTTTCCCCAAGACACTAATGGTGATGTATGAAATGTTTTTCAGTTGGATTCCTTGTTTTATCTCTTTTCTCCCTCTGCAGTTATATCTTGGCAAAATGATAGGGTGGCATGCTTTATCTTTTTCTCTTCTGCTGTTTGATGCTTGTTCTCTAATTTCTTGTGTATTTCCTTATTCTTCTAAACTATTTATAAGAAATACCTTAATTACTACTAAGCCCTTTGCTATTTTTCCCTTATGGTACATTTTTTTAAGTTATTGTATATCCATTTTTTCTGTATATCTAGGAAAAATTGGCCAAATGAAAATAAAAGAAAGATCTATACTGGTTTTTCATGTTACAGTGAGATTCAAGTATTTTTTTTTACATTTTTTTGATATTTAAAAAGTTGATGTACAGAGGAATGCAGTTACATAAGGCAGGTAAAGAGTATGTTTCTGGACAATGTCACCCTCAAGTGATTTTTAAAAAGTTTTCTTTCCTTTTAAAAACTTTATCTGGGCTGGGAAGGTGGCTCAGTGTAGAGTGCTTGCCTTGCATGCATGAGGCCCGGGATTCGATTCCTCAGCACCACATAAGCAGAAAAAAGCCAGAAGTGGCGCTGTGGCTCAAGCAGTAGAGCTCTAGCCTTGAGCTGAAGAGCTGAGGGATAGTGCCCAGGCCCAGAGTTCATTCCCCACGACCGACCAAAAAAAATTTTTTTTAATCTATGTGGTATAACCCATAAAAATTGGTAGTAAAAGTAATATAAATTGGTGAGAATTTTCATCTTTGGTACTATGTGTATTTATGTCATCAATCTTAATTATTCAGTATAATTGTGGTATGTTTTAACTCATCACTGTATTTGTCCTATGTAATTGAGTTCTCGTATGTTCACCTCCAAACAGCTACCAAGCTAGCAACATAACATGTTCACCATGGTTTGAGTTTTGCCTTGTTTCCAGTTAGCTATAAAGTTGCCTAAATACTAGAGTGTCCTATCTTCTGATACCCATTTCAAGTTTGGACAAGGAGTTCTCCACATTAAACACAGGTTCAGTAACTTGTTTTTGAACTCACGGAACTCAGAAAACACAGAGGATTAATTAGTTTGCTGTAGGGAAAGGATGTAGATTAAAATCCACTACATTAAGAAGACTTGAGAGCCTGGCAATGGTAGGCAAGTCTGTAATCCTAGCTACTCAGGAGGCTGAGATCTGAGGATCGCCATTCAGAGGATCGCCATTCAAAGCCAGCCTGGGCAGGAAAGTATGTGAAACTTACCTCCAGTTAACCACCAGAAACCTGGAAGTGGCACTGTGGCTTAACTGGTAGAGTAGTTACCTTGAGTTGAAGAGCTCAGGGACAGTGCCCAGGCCCAGAATTTAAGCCCCATGACCTACAGAAAAAACAAACAAACAAAAAAAGAAGCACATGAGGAAGAATCTAGGAGATATACCCAAAGCAGAGTACTCACTGTTCTTTTAACTCTTCTATTGTAAAGATGCTGTACAGAGGGGTTACAGTTTACATGAGTATGGTAATCAGCACATTTCCTCTTGAGCATTATTACCCCCTCCTTTTCTTTTAACTCTTAATTGCTTGGTATTAATGTATGGTACTACTCAGGATTGTTAATCAATGAAGCTCACACAAACCTCTCAGTGTTTATTGGGTCTCAGTCATGTGGCTGGCTTTTTCTAGAGGCAGAACTGGCAGCACATAGCCCATATCTCCATTATAAGTCACATTATTTCATTGTCCAGTGACAAAAGGCCCCGGGAAAATAAAGATACTTTTCAGATGTGATATTTCAAAGGCCTATAGATCTTCCTAGTAGCCCAGGGCCACAACTTCTCTTTGGCTAAGATTGATTCTTCACTATACCAGGCAGCATGCATAAATTTAGTAACTTGTTTCTGAGGATGGCTGGTCTAATGCTGAACATATAAGAAAGTTTTCTGCCAGAAAGTATTCCTTTTCAGTAAAGTGGTATGCTTTGTAAATTTTCTTTTTGCTACCTCTCAACTCATTTCCTGTCCTATACTTTATATTTTAAATTTGGATTTTAAAAACAATACTCATGTGGCTGGCATTTTCTAGAGGCAGGAAATGTTCTTCAAGAAAGTATTTATTCCTTTTCAGTAAAGTGGTAAGCTGTGTAAATTTTCTTTTTGCTACTTACCAACCTGTTTTGTTTTATATTTTAAATTAATTTGGTTTTAAAAATAATGTAAGATAGCTTATGTTTTACTGATTATTTCTGTCAAAAACTAACTTGTAGCTTATTTTCCCTTGTTTTGTTTCTGTGTAGTATTGCCATATAGAAGACATTTCATTTTATTAAGTTTAACCCATTCTCAAAAGCCTGAGAAATATTTCTTCCATTTTCCAGGAAAAGAAACTAAGCCATAAAATTATTTTTTCAAGACTATGTCAACTTTAAAACTAGTGTTTTTAGTCAACCTGAATTCTGCAAATGAGATATTATGCTAAGTTTAGATAATTTTATGTTCAGAAAATAATCTGAAGCAAAGGCTCACATTTATAGACCTAAACTGATAGAGGAAGGATAACTTCTGTGGTAAATGCATTTTCTACCTCATTAGTTCAGGCAAAAGATACAGAATGCTTCTTTGAATAGAAGTAGTTGTTTGGACACTAACATTGCTCTTCCTCATTATTGTTGCATTCTGCATTGCTGTCTTAGGATGTCAGCCATGGATTAACTGAGGTAAGTTTGGTGTAATAAAGTCTTGTGTTCAGAGTAAGATATCCTTCTGTTCTTAATATGTGAAGAGTAAAATTTCCTCTTCTGTGTGATTTTTTTTTTGGGGGGGGGGGTCCGGTCATGGGGCCTGAACTCTGGGCCTGGGCACTGTCCCTCAGCTCTTCAGTTCAAGGCTAGTGCTCTACTATTTGAGCCACAGCGCCACTTCTGGCTTTTTTTCCTTTTGCTTATGTGGTGCTGAGGAATCGAACCCAGGGCCTCATGCATGCAAAAGGCAAGCGCTCTACTACTGAACCACCTTCCTAGTCCCTGATTTTTTTTTTAAATTGTATGTATATTTGTTATTTCAGTTTGAAATTTTGAGTTTATAGAAATTATTCTATATTGCATTTCAGAAGAATTCTTTGAATAAAATTAAACCCTGTTATCATTCTACCTGATATTTTCAGTAAGATTTGTTTTACAGTAGTTTCTGTTCTCCCAATATTCCCATATAAAATGTAAATGTCCTTAATATTAAGAAACAGATTTTCATTTGAAAATTTGACAAATTCCACTTTAGTAAAGCTAAATTGGGAGACCCTATCAGAAGAAAATAAAAGCAAAAGCATGAGGGGGAGGTGTGGCTCCCCAGTACCACAAGAAAGCAAGGGGGAGAGGTAGAAAGGTAGGAAGGGAAATAACAAAGGAAGAAAGAAGGAAGGAAAAGAAGAAAAGAGCTTAGTAACAAATATAAAGATGTTGGAAGTAAACATTGACATGAAATAAATTGAGGAGTGGTAAGGTTTTATAAAGGTTTTATAAAGCACATTCATAATTCAGTATATTTTCTTAATATATTGAGAACTAAGTTGGCAGAGCTGAGCAATATTAGATCAATTTGGTTTTACTAGCCCAAATTAAGAGAGTCAAGTTGAAAATAAGGTAGTTAAAATGGAAAAGAGATAGATATGTTTGTAAAGGCAAAACAAGACTAAGTAATCCTTAGTGAGTATAAGAATGCAGATTTAGCCAGGTGCCGGTGGCTCATGTCTATAATCCTAGCTACTCAAGAGGCTGAGATCTAAGGATCACAGTTCAAAGCCAGCCTGGGCAAGAAAGTCTGTGAGACTCTTATCTCCAGTAAACCACCAGCGAAACAGGAAGTGGCAAGTGGTAGAGCACTAGCCTTGAGCTGAAGAGGTGAGGGACAGTGCCCAGGCCCAGAGTTCAAAAAAAAAAGCAGGAGCTGGGAAGGTGGCTCTGTAGAAGAGTGCTTACCATGCATGCATGAGTTCCTGGGTTCAATTCCTCAGCAGCACATATGCCGAAAAAGCCAGAAGTGGCGCCGTGGCTCAAGTGGTAGAGCACCAGCCTTGAGCTGAAGAGCTGAGGGACAGTGTTCAGGCCCAGAGTTCAGGCCCCACAACTGATGCAAAAAAAATAAAATAATAATAATAAATAAATAATGCAGATTTATCGGGCTGGGAGTATGGCTCAGTGGTAGAGTGCTTGCCTAGCATGCATGAGGCCCTGGATTCAATTCCTCAGTACCAAATAAACAACAACAACAAAATGATAAAAAAAAAATTAAAGAATGCAAATTCAGACTTAGCACAATTGTAAGAATGTTAAATGACAGTTTATAATTCTTTGTATTTTGTAAATAGCAATCACTATTTGAGATAGTTTCATTAAGGTGACTATTGTTTAAAAATGATAATGTTGGGGGCTGGAAAGGTGGCTCAGTGGTAGAGCACTTGC